TACATTTATTATTTTACTCTCTTTATTATAATTTACATTGAAGAAGGTTGGACAGTTTTATCTTAAATTACAGTTTTCTGTAAATATTCAAAAACATTTAACCTACAGATGCCTCATTTATTTATTTATTTATTTTGAGCTTTTATAACCTGGTCTTCTTGACCTCCGAAGAGGGACTCAGGCCAGCTAACAGCATAGGATTAAAATACAATAAGATAAACCACAGTAAACATCACAATACAATAGTACAAAAATACATTAAAATACAATTACACAACTTACAAAAGGTCAGTTCGTCAGAATAAATCATAAATTCATTGCCATCCGTCCGTGTGGCCAGCAGTTATTGACTCAGTCATCATTCTGCAAATGCAGTATTCCAAAGCAATGTTTTTACCAGCTTTCTAAAAGTGAGGAGGGAAGGGGCAGATCTAATCTCCATTGGGAGGGAGTTCCAGAGCTGAGGGGCCACCACCAAGAAGGCTCTGTCCCTCGTCCCCACCAATCGTGATTGCGAAAGAGGAGGGACCGAGAGCAGGACCCCTCCAGAAGATCTTAATAAACTTGATGGTTCATAGGGGAGAATCCGTTCGGACAGGTAAATTGGGTTTACATAAAATTAATGTAATTTTATTGGTATCTATTTTTATTTTGAAATTTACCAGTAGCTGCTGCATTTCCCACCCTCGGCTTATACTCGAGTCAATATGTTTCCCCAGGTTTTTTGTGGTAAATTTTGCTTATATTCAGGTCGGCTTATACTCAAGTACATACGGTATATGAAGCTACTGGGGAATGACATAATAAAGTTCTTGGAACTATCAGGTTGCTGATGACAGTCGGATCTGCATGTACACTGTAGAATTTATGCACTTTGATCCCACTTGGCACAATGTTATGGAATTCCAGGAAGGTACAAGGTCTTTAGCCTTTCCTGGTAAAGAGCACTGCACCTAGGAATCAAATCCACTAAAGAGAAACCTGAAAATTTGGAAGGTTAGCTATACTTGGATACATATTCAGCCAATGGATGAAAATGGTCTTCCAAGCACCAAATAATCTCTTCTTCCAATCTGAGTGTGAGTTCAAATTGCATCTGGGAAATGTTTGCCTGCCCAAAGGTTGTTCTCATCCATCACCTCTGAAGTTTGGGTGCATATATTGTATATACTTGAGTATAACCCTAGTTTTTCAGCCCCCTTTTTAGGCTGAAAAAGCCCCCCTCAGCTTATAGTCATGCCAAAGTTATATATTTTTTGCTGTTATTTTTATTACATTTATTATTTTACTCTATAATTATTATTATTACATCTATTATTTTACTCTATTTATTTTTGTTATTTTACTCTATTAATTATTATTGTTATTACACTGATTATTTTACTCTATTATTACTGTTATTATTACATTTCCATTTTTTACGCTATTATTTTTTTTACACTTATTATTTTGCTCTCTTCATTATTATTGGAAGGATACGTAAGCATATTTATATTGAAGAAGGTTAGAATAATTTTATTATTATTTATTATTATTATATTTACTGTTATTATTGCATTTCCATTTTTACTCTATTATTATTTTTGATGGCACTTATAATTTTGCTCTCTTTATTATTATTGGAAGGATACGTAAGCATATTTATATTGAAGAAAATTAGAATAATTTTATTTATTATTATTATTTATTATATTTACTGTTATTATTACATATCCATTTTTTACTCTATTATTATTTTTATTGCAATTATTATTTTGCTCTCTTCATTATTATTGGAAGGATACGTAAGCATATTTATAGTGAAGAAGGTTAGAATAATTTTTAATTATTATTATTTATTATATTTACTGTTATTATTACATTTCCATTTTTTACTCTATTATTATTTTTATTGCACTTATTATTTTGCTCTCTTTATTATTATTGGAAGGATACGTAATCATATTTATATTGAAGAAGGTTAGAATAATGGTTGAATCAGAGTTGGACAGTCTCATTTTAAATTACAGTTTAGTGTAAATATTCAAAAACCTAGTGATGGCTCAATTAATGTAATTTTATTGGTATCTATTTTTATTTTGAAATTTACCAGTAGCAGCTGCATTTCCCACCCTCGTCTTATACTCGAGTAAATACGGTTCGCCAGTTTTTGGGGGTAAAATTAGGTGCCTCGGCTTATACCCGAGTATATATGGTACATTACTTACATATTCATAGAATCCTAGAGTTGGAAGAGACCTCATGGGCCATCCAGTCAACCCCCTGCCAAGAAGCAGGAAAATTGCATTCAAAGCACCCCCAACAGATGGCCATCTAGCCTCTGTTTAAAAGCTTCCAAAGAAGGAGCCTCCACCACACTCCGGGGCAGAGAGTTCCACTGCTGAACAGCTCTCACAGGAAGTTCTTCCTAATTTATTTTCGAAGGCTTTCATGGCTGGAATCACTAGGTTCTTGTGGATTTTTTCGGGCTATAGGGCCATGTTCTAGAGGCATTTCTCCTGACATTTCGCCTGCATCTATGGCAAGCATCCTCAGAGGTAGTGAGGTCTGTTGGAATTAGGACAATGGGTTTATATATCTGTGGAATGGCTGCGGTGGGGCAAAGAGCTCTTCTCTGCTGGAGCTAGGTGTGAATGTTTCAACTGACCACCTTCATTAGCATTTGAAGGCCTGGCTGAGCCTGGGAAAATCTCTTGCTGGGAGGTGTTAATCTGTGCCTGGTTGTTTCCTCTCTGTTGTTTTGCTGTTGTAATTTTAGAGTTTTTTAATACTGGTAGCCAGATTTTGTTCATTTTCATGGTCTCTTCCTTTCTGTTGAAATTGTCCACATGCTTGTGGATTTCAATGGCTTCTCTGTGTAGTCTGACATGGTGGTTGTTGGTGTGGTCCAGCATTTCTGTGTTCTCAAATAATATGCTGTGTCCAGGCTGGTTCATCAAAAACCCACAAGAACCTAGTTCTTCCTAATGTTCAGATGGAATCTCTGTAGTATATACAATATATTAAATAGTCTGCTTTACAAAGAAACAAATCCCATTCCTTAAAAAAAGGCTATTTCAGCAGCAGCTTTGCACTCTAGACCTGAGCAAAAAGTCCAATCCCAGACCTTGGCTGAGCTCCGGGCAAAGAAATTAAGAAGCTGATCAAAGGGCAAGGAAGAGACAGGGCGGGCTTTGCAACTATTTATTTATTTAGGCTTGAGTTTAAAGACAGCTAGAAGCTAACTCAGCTGATTTTCCCACGGTTTTTACTGTCTGATTCCACTTGAAAGCTCCCATTCCTCTCTCAGCAACAGCACCACAGATAAGTGCAAAGGGTGCATCTCCACTGCAGAACGAATGCAGTTTGGCACCACTTGGACCACCATGGCTCAAGGCTATGGACGCCCGGGAGTTGTAGTTTTGCAGTATCTTTAGCATTCACTCCCAAAGAGGGCTGGTGCCTAACCAAACTACAACTCCAATGATTCCCTAGCGCAGTGGTTCTCGTCCTTTCTAAAGCTGTTAATACTGATTCTCATGTTGTGGTAACCCTACAACCACAACATTAATTTCATTGCTGCTTCACAACTGCAATTTTACTATTGTTATGAATCGCAATGTAAATATCTGATATGCAAGATGTGTTTTCATTCACTGGACCAAATTTGGCACAAATACCTGATATGCCCAAATTTGAATACTGGTGGGGATGGGGGGGAATTAATTTCGTCATTTGTGAGTGGAAGTTGCTGGGATTTATAGTTCACCTACAATCAAAGAGCACTCTGAACTCTACTAATAATGGAATTGAACCAAATTTGGCACACAGAACTCCCATGACCAAGAGAAAATTCTGGAAGGGTTTGGGGGCATTGACCTTGAGTTTGGGAGTTGTAGTTCACCTACATCCAGAGAGCACTGTGGACTCAAACAATCATGGATCTGGACCAAACTTGGCACAAATACTCAATATGCCTAAATGTGAATACTAGTGGAATTTGGGGGAAATAGATCTTGATATTTGGGAGTTGTAGTTGCTGGGATTTATAGTTCACCTACAATCAAAGAGCATTCTGAACGCCAGCAACAATAGAATTGGGCCAAACTTCCCACACAGAAACCCCATGACCAACAGAAAATACTTTGTTTTCTGATGGTCTTCAGCGACCCCTCTGACACCCCCTCACGACCCTTGCACGGGTCCCGACCCCAAGATTGAGAAACACTGAACTACAGGAAAGGAGATTCCACCTGAACATGAGGAAGAACTTTCTAACTGTGAGAGAGAGCTGTTCAGCAGTGGAACTCTCTGCCGCGGAGTGTGGTGGAGGCTCCTTCTTTGGAGGCTTTGAAGCAGAGGCTGGATGGCCATCTGTCGGGGGTGCTTTGAATGTGTTTTTCCTGCTTCTTGGCAGAATGGGGTTGGACTGGATGGCCCATGAGATCTCTTTCAACTCTAGGAGTCTAAGAATCAGGTCAGTTAAAAGTTTTTATTAAATGCATTCATTCTACAGTGAATAGTTTTCTTAGATCTACAGAGACACTTGCTGGAACACCTCAGCAAGTGAGAGTTCAAAAGTGGCAGGCTCAAACCCAGCACCTCAATCCGTGGGTGATACCAGATGAGAGATCAGGCATGGCAAACTGTGACCCTCTAGGTGTTTGGACTTCCAACTCCCACAATTCCTAATTCCAAAATCTGAGGAAGAAGAAGAAAAAATCCAAAATCTAAAACACAGATTTAGTTCCATTGTAAAACTACAACTCCCTGGATCTCATAGCACTGAGCCATAGCAGTTGAAGTGGTGCCAAACTGCATGAATTCAATAGTGCAGCCTCCTTTCTTGCCAGGGAGTATAAACTCTGCAACTCTGCCCATGCTCAGAGGCACTCTTTTTTCTTTAGCTTCACATGCTCCATGCACCCAGGAAGACACATCTCCAAAAAGCTACTAAAGAGCCTCATTATAATCTATTATTATTGTGATAATGATTATTATTATGAGAAGCTTAGCCTTACCTTTCAAGCTCTCCCTCCTGGGTGGCACAGCCCCGCCCCTTGAGTAAGGACCACCATCGAGTCCAAAAGGAAGAGCGGCTTCCCAGGAAGTGAGGAGAATGAATGGAAGAGACCACATTTCCGGCTCCCAATGGAACACTGCGTGGCAAATCTCCTTTGTGCCCCGCTTATGGAAACCGGAAGTGATGCCAATAGATGCCTGTGGTCGACTATAAAAACAGGGAGGTTGTGCCTCTTTGGAGTGAGCAGCTGTTGCTTGGATGAGGAGTTGTTTTTAGCAGTGTAGATGCATCTGATGCAATTTGAACTGCATTATGAACGTATAATCCAGGTTCAAACTGCATTATTTGGTAGAATAGATCCAACCTTTGTTACTTGAGTTTCAATTGTATTCTAATTTTTATGTTCAATGTCACAATGTTTTAATTGGGGTTTTTTTTTAAAAAAAATGTTTATATTCATATATTTACATGCATTTGCTGTGCTTTAGAGATATAGAATCATAGAATCATAGAATCAAAGAGTTGGAAGAGACCTCATGGGCCATCCAGTCCAACCCCCTGCCAAGAAGCAGGAATATTGCATTCAAAGCACCCCTGACAGATGGCCACCCAGCCTCTGTTTAAAAGCTTCCAAAGAAGGAGCCTCCACCACACTCCGGGGCAGAGAGTTCCACTGCTGAACGGCTCTCACAGTCAGGAAGTTCTTCCTCGTGTTCATATGGAATCTCCTCTCTTGTAGTTTGAAGCCATTGTTCCGCGTCCTAGTCTCCAAGGAAGCAGAAAACAAGCTTGCTCCCTCCTCCCTGTGGCTTCCTCTCACATATTTATACATGGCTGTCATATCCCCTCTCAGCCTTCTCTTCTTCAGGCTAAACATGCCCAGCTCCTTAAGCCGCTCCTCATAGGGTTTGTTCTCCAGACCTTTTATCATTTTAGTCACTCTCCTCTGGACACATTCCAGCTTGTCAATATCTCTCTTGAATTGTGGTGCCCAGAACTGGACACAATATTCCAGATGTGGTCTAACCAAAACAGAATAGAGGGGTAGCATATGTATTGACATTTGTTATTTGCCTTGAGATCAACATAATATGGGAAAAAAAATAAGTCTATATTTATCGTGTCATCCGCAACCAGAACATTGTATTACATTTCTAACAGAACAAAACAAACAAACAGATTTTTTAAAAAGCACAAATTTTGCAAACTTGGTAGTTGATTAAATGTCCTTTGACCAGTATCTGGCCACTTGGAGTGCCTCTGGTGTTGCCGCAAGAAGGTCCTCCATTGTGCATGTGGCAGGGCTCAGGGTGCATTGCAGCAGGTGGTCAGTGGTTTGCTCTTCTCCGCACTCACATGTTGTGGGCTCCACTTTGTGGCCCCATTTCTTAAGGTTGGCTCTGCATCTCGTGGTGCCAGAGCGCAGTCTGTTCAGCGCCTTCCAAGTCGCCCAGTCTTCTTCTGTGTGCCCACGAGGGAGTCTCTCATTTGGTATCACCCACGGATTGAGGTGCTGGGTTTGAGCCTGCCACTTTTGGACTCTTGCTTGCTGAAGTGTTCCAGCAATCTTAGAAAACTATTTCTCGATTTAAGTCGTTGACATGCTGGCTGATACCCAAACAAGGGATGAGCTGGAGATGTCTCTGCCTTGGTCCTTTCACTATTGGCTGCTACTTCCCGGCGGATGTCAGGTGGTGCAATACCGGCTAAGCAGTGTAATTTCTCCAGTGGTGTAGGGCGCAGACACCCCGTGATAATGCGGCATGTCTCATTCAGAGCCACATTTATTTATTTATTTATTTACCTTACTTATATACCACTGTTCTCAGCCCGAAGGCGACTCACAGCGGTTCACAACAAATACGAACAGCAAAAATTCAGTGCTACAGTATAAAAACAGTTAACAACCTAACACATTACACATTAATAAACAATTACTACAATACCCATTCACTGTCGTCTCATCATCAACAACATGTTCCAGATTCGTCGTCCATTGTTCCATTCCAGTGTTCATTAACCAATCATTGCACTAATTATTCAAATGCCTGCTCAAACAGCCAGGTCTTCACTTTTTTGCAGAATACCATTAGAGATGGTGCTAGTCTAATGTCCGTAGGATCCACTGTTTTAGTGTGGTGAGATGTGTTCCACACTGGGCATGCATACTCAGCAGCAGAGTAGCATAGCGCAAGGGCAGATGTCCTCACTGTATCTGGTTGTGATCCCCAGGTTATGCCAGTCAGCTTTCGTATGATATTGTTTCTAGCGCCCACTTTTTGTTTGATGTTCAGGCAGTGCTTCTTGTAGGTCAGAGAATGGTCCAGAGTGACTCCCAGGTATTTGGGTGCGCTGCAATGCTCCAGTGGGATTCCTTCCCAGGTAATCCTCAGAGCTCGGGATGCTTGTCTGTTCTTAAGGTGAAAGGCACATGTCTGTGTTTTAGATGGATTAGGAATCAGTTGGTTTTCCCTGTAATAGGCAGTAAGAGCACCTAGAGCTTCGGAGAGCTTCTGTTCTACCATCTCAAAGCTCCCTGCTTGAGCGGTAATGGCACGATCATCAGCATAGATGAAACTCTCTGTCCCTTCTGGCAGTGTAGACTCATCTGATGCAATTTGAATTGCATTATGAACTTATAATGCAGGTTCAAACTGCATTATTTGGCAGTGTAGAATAGATCCAGCCTTACTTGAGTTTCAATTGTATTCTAATTTTTATGTTCAATGTCACAATGATTGAACTGGTTTTTTAAAAAAATGTTTATATTCATATATTTACATGCATTTGCTGTGCTTTAGAGATATGTATTGGCATTTGTTATTTGTCTTAAGTTCAACATAATATGGGATAAAAATAAATAAAAACAAAGAAATGAAATGCTTGAGACCGAAAGCTATTTTTATTTTATCATATTACACACACACACACAATGTTAACATATTTACATGCATTTGCTGTGTTTTAGAGATTTGTATTGACATTTGTTATTTGCCTTGAGATCAACATAATATGGGATAAAAATAAGTAAAAACAAAGAAACGAAATGCTTGAGACCGAAAGCTATTTTTATTTTATCATATTATACACACACACACACACACACACACACACACCAAGGTAGAATCATAGAATGAAAAAGTTGGAAGAGACCTCATGGGCCCCCCAGTCCAACCCCCTGCCAAGAAGCAGGAATATTGCATTCAAATCACCCCTGACAGATGGCCATCCAGCCTCTGTTTAAAAGCTTCCAAAGAAGGAGCCTCCACCACACTCCGGGGCAGAGAGTTCCACTGCTGAACGGCTCTCACAGTCAGGAAGTTCTTCCTCATGTTCAGATGGAATCTCCTCTAATGTTAAATATTATGTTCCAAAACATTATATATTATACTAGCCACCCTGTGCCATGCGTTGCTGTGGTCCAGTCTGTGTATATGTGTTTTGTGTGTGTATGTGTATATATGGTTTTGCACATACGTTGTAATGTGGGGTTTTTTTCTTTGCTTTTTAAGTCTCTTCCGCTGTTTTTCAGTGTTTTATGAGTGATGGTCACTCATTGGCCTGAGGTGTATTGTGTCCAAATTTGGTGTCAATTTGTCCAGTGGTTTTTGAGTTATGTTAATCCCACAAACAAACATTAAATTTTATTTATATAGATAAGTATATGATTATTTATGTTAAGGGCTGTTGTAGGCTTTTTTGGGCTATATAGCCATGTTCTAGAGGCATTCTCTCCTGACGTTTCACCTGCATCTATGATGATGATGATGATGATAATAATAATAATAATAATAATAATAATATTTATTTATTTATACCCAACCACCACCTGCCCAATGGGGACTCGGGGTGGCTTACATGAGGCCAAGGCCATACAACATCCTCAGAGGTTGTGAGGTCTGTCGGAACTAGAAAAATTGGGTTTATATATCTGTGGAAAGTCCAGGGTGGGAGAAAGAACTCTTGTCTGTAGGAGCTAGGTGTGAATGTTTCAATTGGCCAACTTGATTAGCATTTGATGGCCTGACAGTTTTTAGGTGTGGCTTGTTACTGCCTGGAGGAATATTTTGTTGAGAGGTGACTAGCTGTCCCTGATTGTGTCTTTTGGTTTTGGAGTTGTGTTGTTGTTCATTCGTTCAGTCGTCTCCGACTCTTCATGACCTCATGGAACAGCCCACACCAAAGCTCTCTGTCGGCCGTTACCACCCCCAGCTCCTTCAAGGTCAGTCCAGTCACTTCAAGGATGCCATCCATCCATCTTGCCCTTGGTCGGCCCCTCTTCCTTTTGCCTTCCACTTTCCCCAGCATAATTGTCTTCTCTAGGCTTTGCTGTCTCCTCATGATATGGCCAAAGTACTTCAACTTTGTCTCTAGTATCCTTCCCTCCAATGAGCAGTCGGGCTTTATTTCCTGGAGGATGGACTGGTTGGATCTTCTCGCAGTCCAAGGCACTCTCAGCACTTTCCTCCACCACCACAGCTCAAAAGCATCGATCTTCCTTCGCTCAGTCCTTCCCTAAGGTCCAGCTCTCACATCCGTAGGTTACTACAGGGAATACCATGGCTTTGACTAGGCGGATCTTTGTTGCCAGTCTGTTGCCGGTTGTAGTTGTAGTTGTAGTTGTAGTTTGGAGTTATAGTTCACCTATATCCACAGATCACTGTGGACTCAAACAATGATGGATCTGGACCAAACTCTACACGAATACTCAATATGCCCAAATGTGAACACTAGTGGAGTTTGGGGAAAATATAATCTTGACATTTGGGAGTTGTAGTTGCTGGGATTTATAGTTCACCTACAATCAAGAGCATTCTGAACCCCACCAATGATAGAATTTGGCCAAACTCCAACACAGAACCCCCGTGTGGGCCACAGCAACACGTGGCAGGGGATGGCTAGTACTGTATAAACGTATTAGTATTTCAATGGGAAGTGTGGGCCTGCTTTCAGCTGATGAGATAGGATTGTTGTTGTTGTGTGCTTTCAAGTCGTTTCAGACTAAGGTTGACCCTGAGAGAGGGCCGGGTAAATGACCTTGGAGGGCCGTATCCAGCCCTCGGGCCTTAGTTTGAGG